CTTGATATCAATTGTTTAAATGCAAAAGACTGGCATTCTGGCCATGCACAGCTCTACATGACTCAATGCCATACAACTCCATACCATTGGGATGCCTTTGAAGGAAGACATCACTCGAGCTCTTTAGTCAACTTTGCTCCTGGTTTCAGCAAGACACAGGTGGCCTTGCATCCACAAACAATGAGCTCCTCCTGTACAAGTGCCTCTTTATGGGGCAAAACCGTCACAAAAAATGAATAAAAGCATTTCAACCCTTTTACCATGTGTTTTAATCTAGGCAGTCATTTGAAAGTGATCAAATAGTAACTACCCAAGTCCTCCAAGTGAGAATGGAATTGAGAGATAACATATAATAAGTAAAGAAAACATTCTTAATCAGCAAATCAGCAAACATGACAACAGATGATGTACCTGCTGACAAATCTTGCAGATGGTGTCCTCTTTTTTGTTGCACCAGTGCTACACATGCGTTTGATGAGCATACTACCAAACACAAAAGAGAGAAAAAAAATGAGGAAGAGCCAGAAAATTGTTTAGAACTCTCAGACCACATATTATAGAAAATTATAAGATTATTAAGATCTAGAAAATTTCAGTTCAATCATAAAATTAAAATTAAATTATTAAACACAGCAACTATCTAAAGGAGAACATGATTATCAACAAACATAGATTATAAGACATATTAATATATTTTATAAACATAGATCTAGCACTTAAATAATAATATTGTTATATTTTTTTATGGTACTATAATTAATAGAGTATAATAACATTATCACTGCTAGATTATACATATTAATCTATATATGTGGTCTTAGAACTCTCAGACTAAGTATTTCAGTCTTCAAGATTAGCATTTTCTATAACATCCATCTTACATTATGTAAATATCATATAATAGTGTATTACAGAGTTCAGTAGTTATAACAGAATCCATAATCTTAGCAGAGACCCCAGCTCCACTGGGAGATATAACATACCCAAGATAATTAATTCTTCTTTTCTAATTTTACAATATTAGAAAATTTTATTATATATAAAGTTAAATTTATCTAAAATTTTCTAGTATTCATCTCCAAAGAAATGTACAATAATGTAAATAAATAATAATGCATGTTGGGGAAGTAAAATCATTTTTTATCGTCATTAAATTTGAATTTGATGTTTTTATTGTCTTTATTTAAAAATGCACAACCCTAAATACATCTACAGGATTTCTGTTATGCTTTAAAAGCAATTAAATTTTCACAAAACCAAAGAATCATAGACTACCAAAAAATAATAGATTAGTTTAGAGAAATTATAATTTTAATTGCATACTGAGTTAAATTCTTTTTATGTGAACTATAATGATGCCTCTAACATTCATACTTTACTAAATAAAAATAGAATTTCTATTATATGTCTGGTTTAACATTTTAAAACATACATAAATAAATCTATCTAGCTTGCTACCACGTTTTGTTTTATTTGAGAAAACTCTGGAATTTCAACATTTTGGGAGGTCATCCTACTCTAACCCTAAGATATTAAACCCCCTGAGTATCCTAATACCCTTAACCAATTGGAATAAAATGTGCACTTTTATTTAAAAATCCTTTCCCTTTATATTTAATTTTCTATATATCATCTTTCAAATTATTCTTTTTTGTTGCATATAATCCACCATACTTCTTTTGTAAATTTACACCCTCATGAATGAAAGCTTATAACCATCACTCTCCTAAGACCCGTGCTCTCTTGCCATAGCAAGGATCCCAGCTCTGCTGGGAATGTATCTTGGTTGGCGAATTTACTATTTTAAATGCATACAAGGTTAATTTGTCAAGAATTTACTACCATCTATATTCATTGTATCGTGCATTTGTTATATCATTATGATTTATTAGTTGGTGGAACTGAAGATGGTTTGGAATATTTATCATCTGGATGTCATGCCATAAGAGATAGCAATGAGTAGTTTATTTCAATGATAGACAATTATTAGTTTGTCTATACATTTTATATATTTCATAGAGCAGTTTTAAGTCATTTTAAGACTGTAGTGTGGAGTCAATTAAATATAAGTATGTAGCATCAAGTGTTTTTAATTTTCATTTTGCTGTTAATTGTGTCAAAGTTTTTGCTTTAGTTGTGCATGTATAAAGGACCTAAGGTTGTATTTCTTGTTTACCTTTCTCCTTATATACTAAGAGGTTTATGTTCTTATATGATAGATAAACAACCTTTTGGGCTCCTCTGTGCTGTTGTAGAAATAATACTTACAATGACAAATCATGAAAGATAAGGAAACATAAAATAAAATATCAAAGCACTGTTTTACCATCAAAGATAGAAAAACTATTTCAAGAAAATTTTACATAAGAGAAACCTTATAGATCTTCTTAAACTAATATTCTCTTTTATCTTCATCCAAAGATAATAATTGCATTATAAAATGTTTGTATTAAGACAAACATGCAATAATGCTTCATGATAAATCTATGCATTCATGTCTATTATATGACATGGCATTTAATATGGTATAAGATGTCTCATACATATACAAATATCAAATCCATATCTTAATAATATCTAAAAAATTAGCAAAGTCTTTTATATTTTTAATCAGTCTTGCTCATAATCTTACTTAAATCTACCAGCAGCTTTACATGAGTTTTATCTAGTCTCAATATTGACGAAATGATTTATTTCTATAGTTAAAATATATGGTTTACATAAGTCTTTTGATCTTGCTCTAGATTTCTTCTGCATTTGTATTATCTCAATCCCTATCAAAACATAAGGAAAATATCATAATGATAACATACATAGTTAAACATAATATAATCTTTATATTAAAAATCCCTTCTACAATTCACTCTATCACTTACACACATCATAACATAACAAATATAACTCATAACATTATATCACATTTAAAATTCTCTTTGTTGAGTGAAGTCTTCTATTCTAGTCTTGTACTGTATTTTCTATTGTATCTACTATATACCATCTTTGCACAACAAAATTATGTTTAATTTTAATAATATAGTATTGAATCAATAAAATACTCTTTGTTCTGTAAAGGTTTTGTTATATAGAACAATGAGTATGCTGAAATATTTTCAGGGAGATATATCATACCCAAGATAAATAGATCTTCTTTTTTAATTTTCCAATGTTAAAATTTTTGATTGTATGCAAGGTTAAATTTATCTTAATTTTGCAACTATTCATCTCCAGAGAAATGGAAAATAATGCAATTAGATAATAATACAAATGTTTGGGAAGATAAGATCATATTTTAATCATCACTAAATTCGAAATTGAATTCTTCTATTGCCTTTATAAAAAAGTACAAAAACCTAAACACATTTACAAGATTGCTGCCATGATTTAAAATAAATTAAATGTTCATAAAAAAAAAGAATTGTATACTACCGTCCAAAGAGAATATGCTCGCTCACTCTCTAGCACCATCAACCTTTTACCTTTAGGATGGAGAATGCTTGTCTATAAACTCCTGGGAGAAGGTCCATAGCTTGTGAGCGAGCTCGGGATCTCTGCCATAAGCGCTACAGTTGGATTTGTTGGAATCCACGAAGTATTGCCCAGTGACGTCCTTGAGGCTTGGATGTAAAGCCACGTATCACGTTGTAGCAGCGCCCTGAGAGATCGATCACATATTAGTCACAAAAAACTTCCAGATTATTGGGAGAATTCTTCTTACCTATGGCACATTTTTTCAAAGGAAGCTGGAGAAGAACTTGAGAACCCCTGCATGAAGATCAAAGTTCCATAAGTAACCAAAAACAATGACAAGGCAAAGAGACAAACTCATTATGTAGAATGTGTACCGCATCAAAGGTGTCATTATAAACCCTGGATGAACATGTCAACTCCTTCGGCTTAATCAGCGAAAGAGAAAGCATTGACGAAAGAGAAAGGTGGGAGAGATTACAAAGCATTAGACGAATACCTTGAATCTCATTGCCAGTTCTTTGGCGTGGAAGATGTTTGCGAGCTTGGATTGACTGTATGCTCTAGTGTCGGAGTACCTTTTGGAAGAAAAAAGGAAGAATGTAAGCTCACGAGAAAAGAGAACTGTTTGGTGTACTAATGACGAGATTCCCAGGTGCCTTGACAGTTTCACCACCTGCTTAAGCAGCCATTGACAAGCTGTCCTTTCCACCTTCTATTGCGACCTCAAGCTCGATCATAGTGTCGTGAAAAGCAACAGCATATGTGCTCCTTCGGAATCAAGCTCAACCTGCAAAGTCAAACATATCATAAGGTGAAATATCCTTGACAAAAAAAAAAGTTCTGGCTGAGCTGCAGGATGCTCATCAATGCTCTGGTATCAATTTATATTCCAGCAGAGCTGGAGTCTTTGCTATAATAGTACTGCACGATAGGAATAAAGCGGGTAGGTAGAGAACAAAAATAAGTGCCCATTCCATAGCCAGGAAAAAAAGCTATTTTGATTCACTAAGATCAAGGTAGAGTTCAGTATAGTACTTTTTTCTTTTATAATTACAGAATTTTTTAAACTCTTACAGATTTGAAAACTCATGGCCTCTGTTGTGGCAAGAAACTGTGCTGTTGGGATCCAAGGCAGTCCTCCTACAAACACCAGATAAAGTAATAATAGCACTAATAATAAATATTCACCTATAGCCAGCAAAGAAGTAATGGACGACAATGAAGATTTGAAGCTTGGCAAGCTCGTCGGACCCATATCTCGTTACCCATTATACTTTTAGCATTGACCATTGAGCGTCATATACCAAAAGAAGGAAAACAAGAAGAAAAAGAAGGGCAGAACATCGTGAAGAAGAAGAAAAAGCAAAAATCTTAAGAAACAGAACAAAGTGAAAGCTTGGAAATGGAATAGAAAATGCGGCCTACAGACATATGTCCTTTCAGAACCTTTCTTTAGTTGGCTGAATTTTCCTATTTCTTGTGCAGAGGTTCAACTTTGTCAAACTATGAGCGCTAGCTTCCCTGGATTTGGATGATGTCAAAGGATTTCTTAAGCATGGAAACACTCATTAGAGGCAGCAGACACGGTTTGTGACGGCTTAACCTGGACTATAAGAGCCTTGTATCAGTGACCCACTTCATCACGGAACGACTCTCATCTTCAGATCATCGATTACTGCCAAGAAAATTCGAGGAGGAAGAAGACATGCCAAGCTGCAATACCTGAGGATGGGAAGTTGGAGAGGGAACATTTTGGTTTTGCTTCTGCTGTCTCTGAGCTAGTGTTTTGGATCATGATGAGAGTGGAGGATACAAGAATGGCTACCACAGTTACTCGAGATCCTGTCCTCAAGCCAAGAGAATCATCAGGGACACTGTGAGCAAGCACACCGATTGGGACAGGACGATACCAGCAGGAGTTCTTTGCTTGCACTTCCACAACTGTTTCATCGACAGGAGTAGCTTTGCAAGATTTAAATTCTTGTCTTCTAACTTTGCTGTTCTTCAGGACTGTGATGGATCGGTTCTTCTCGACTGATGGAAGTAAAGTGTAAAAGTTGTCCCTTCCAAGCCTCATGTCCGCCAAGAGCTTCATTTTTGTCCTGGTGTTGTCTCCTGCGCTGACACTCTTGCCATAGCTGCCAGAGATTCAACCGTCATGGTAAGTTTAGCATCTTTTATCAAGTTCTAAGATGGAGAGAAAAGTATTACCAAGTCCCAACTGGATGCTACGACGGAAGAGTTTCCATCCAGGAAAACAGCAACACCTTACAATCTCCGTTTGGGGATGCATCAGCTCTCATTAAAAACACTGGATATTTCAATTGGCTCCAAAACTGTAAAACAATTGTAAATCACAAAATTTGTGAACCAGCCAGTTCTCGCCTCTATAGGATGATCCTTTTGACAGCAGAATAGTACGCAATGGCCAACTCAATCCAAGGCACTGGAATTTGAAGACATTGCAGCCAATTCTTGGAGATCTTCCCCATCTACAAGAACAAACAATGGAGGCTGAAGTGGAATCCAGTGAAGTTTACCTTCCATGTACCAACTTATAGCATGGCAGGAGAGTCCCGCAGCCAAGTCGTGGTGTAGGCGTACTTCATCATGAGATTGAGCAGTGGCCGCTCCATCACCTGCTCTTGATTCGACACAAACACATCCAGCCGAAACCAGAGTCACTCGTGGGACTCGATGTCTGTGACACAGGAACGCCACCTGTTTACTCCTCCCATTTTCTCCTTGGCCTCGTTCTGGATGAAGGCCCGGTCCTCGAGGATGGCAGCATGCTCTTTTTGCAGCGATGCTCCTCTCGCCCCATGTTTGCCCCAATCTGCCCGATCGCCCTAAAAAATTTCACTTGATTTGGAACGTCATTAAAATCACATTGAAGCGTTGCCACCCCTTTGGCACTTGATCTATGCCATTTATTTCAAGTTTTTGAATTTCAACCGTTAGATTATAAGTATATTCAGAAATAATATTCTAAAAATGGAATAAAAGACGCCGGATGCCATATGCCAATAGCACGTTTAAATAAGGGAGTATGATTGCTTTTCTTGGACTCATAATACTATTGTATTTTATAACTCATTTCCCTTACGTGTCCTTCCCACTTGGTCATCTGGACTAATATTATTTATTCAAATCACTAATTTGAAATAGGAACACTGTTCTTTAACCCACCAAAGAGCTTGTTCTTGATTATCAGCCATGGAATCACCTAATGATCCTATATAGATAGCTTAATAGGTTTATCAATAGGCACTAGGTTCATTGAACCTCTAAATTGTTGACCATGACTTTGGGGCCATCCCCCACACTTGGTAGTGTGCCTAACCTAGCCTTTCTAACCAAAAGGTTTATAACAACTAAGATTAGGTGTCACCATCTCATTCACCACATCTTTGGTGTCACTTACACCAAAGTGTTCAAGTTAAATATATCAACCTTTCACACTAAGCAACCTAACTATGCATCACAACTCCAGGGCATCCCCCCATTTGGTAGTGTGCCCAAGCCAGCCTCCTTACTGAGAGTCCATGACCATTGAAAAATGAGTGTTCTCATATTCCAAACTTTCCCTACACCCTAGTGAGTATAAGCTCTTGGATTTTGGACTTTCCGGGAAGTCACCCAACCCAATACTATTCAAACCCAAGGACGTTTAACCTCAACTATCCCAACAGCAAGGAAACAACTCTAGAAAAAGTTGACGGTGATCACACTATGTGAGAAATGCACCAATTTAAATGAGTTAAGGTACCCTCTTTGTCTAACACAGATGCGCTACCAACTCAGACACCTTCTGGCTGTCACCGACAAATAAATGACTAATGGAGTTAGCCACCTTTGTTGCTTTGGGTGTCACCTAGCTTACAAAAGTGTGATATACCCCTACCTATAGGGATATAGAGAGAGAAGATAGAAGCCTCAACCCTCTTGAGCAAAAAAACCAAATATATTGGTAAGGTTTAGATAAACTACTCCAACGCCATCTACTCTCCTGAAGATTGCTTCTTTCTTAAGAAACCCTCACCAAAGTTTAGCCCGAAAGAGAAAAACAAGTACCCTAGTCTTGATCTTTCAACATTTTCCCTGTAAGTAAGTTAGAAAGAGCTCGGCCCTATCTACCCTCTATTTCAAAAATTTGGGAAGAAAACACCTTAATATCCCGAGAGATCCAATAAAACATAGCATAGAACACCAATATTATGGAAAAACATCTACATGTCACCAATCTAGATTGATACCAAGGCACCATTAGTATTCTCAGAAAGCCTAGGACCAAAAGCACTTCCAAAAACAAATGGAATCCAAAACAAGGCTTGGAGAAGTATAAATTCCTACTACAAAGATGCCCCTATCTAGTTGGAGAAGAAAATCCTTTTACATACCATAAATTTGCCTAAATCTAGCCCCAAGAATCACCACTACTTGTAGATCTAGGCTAAATTTACAAACCCAAAGGCACTACTTTGAGAAATTGAGCTGAGAATCTAGGCGAGAAAGTGAAAACCTCAAAATGTTCACTAAACTAAGCCAACAAACATTATATCTCCTCAAATATTGCACAACTTGATGAGTGCCATACCTTGCTGGAAATAGGATTTCAAGACCTATTCAATGCGCCCAAGATCAAGAAAAACTGCTGCATGACAAACAAGAAATTGCTCCTCAAAGCTGCGACTGAAATGAAAAAAGAGAAATTGTGCCATATAAAGAAATACACATTCACGTTGGGTTCCCCATTTGTTAGGGGAAGGAGAGGTGCCTCCTTAAATGCTCACTCAAACACAAGAAATGCTCCAATGCTCTTCACAAATGCCCCTCCTTTGCCCTTATGGGGCAAGGGTTTTCCCAGAATCAGAATATTCCCTCTCACTCTCACATTTTCTAATTGGCCATGCCCTAACAAGTGTTGGGGGTGTACTTAAAGGATGAATTGGTGTTCTTATTATATGGAAGGATAGTTCTAAAGGGCAAAAATAGCTTACATGGAACAAAGAATGATCAAGTGTCAGAGTAACATTTGCAAAAGATGGTCCTTATGAATTAGTCCAAACATGTTTTTGCTAATTTTTTAGGACCATTCTTTGACTCCACTAAGTCATCTAGCTTTTAAACTTTGTTAATCCGACGACACATAAGGTTTTAGCCTCAAAAATATTTTAGAGGTGCCACCATACTTGAATACCACTTTTTGTATTTATGTCCTAGGTGTATTGTATCCTAAGAAGGATTTAGAGGATCATGAGATCTAAGTATGAGAATAATGAGTATTTCATTGATGCCAGGATATGCCATACTAAAGTTATGGAAAGGTGTTCATGGAAGAAAGGAACTTTGGCAAGGAGTTGTGTGTGAACATTGTGTTGCATTGCTAACCAATAGTTGGCATAAGAAATGACTACTATTGTCTTACCAAAACTTAGACACAAATGGGAAGTGTCATGAAGGTAGGCTTATAAAACCAATAGTGTGGAAACACAAAATGTTTTAAGGGTGATTCTTTGAGTTCAAGTTGGTTGGTTCATGAGAACCCCTTGCTAAAAGAATTGTAATGAAAACAGGATTGGCATAGCTTAAGCTGTAATATATGCAATTCAAGTGTGTTGATCCAAATATTGATGGAGGTGTTGAAACACTAGCAATGAATTGTAGGATTTGATAATTATGAGGTAACTAAGCAAAATGTGTGGTATAATTAATTAGATTGGTGGAAGCTAACATCTCAAGATTTCTTATTAGGGTAAGGAGGTTACATATATCGCTTGGGGGATAAATTATTTATATTGCAATCTAGTAAGTCAATGTTGTAAAAGGAAATGCTCATTATCAAAGAAGTTTATCTTGGGACACCTAAACACTCTAAAACACTTAGAAGGTTGTGTTTGGTATTATAAGGGTATTAAGTAAGGCCCACGGGACTAAATCCCTTATAGTAGTCTATAGCATAGTCATGTGTCTTTGGAGGGCAAAAAATAATGGATAGGAAATGCTATCTAATATCCAAAATTGCAAAGACAAAGCTAAAAGGATTTTAATCAGGCTAGTGACAAGTATACAGAGGCTTGTCAATGGGTATATAGTAGTAATGTTAATCCCAGTGTATTGAGGAACCACTCCCTAAGAAATAGAGTATAGTCATCCTTAAGAATATTTACTAAGTCATAGTAGTGTAAGTGACTAAATTTTCCATTCTACTTTATTCACTTAACCACACCTCTAAGCACTTGGAGGAGTCTCACTCACAACCTCTATAAATCTTATTTTGGACTTGAGGCTTGTTAGCCCCGAGAATGGTATCCACGCCACTCAACTTTTGCACTTGGTCCAAGTGTTCCATGTGTTAAATCCCATGATCGACACTCAAAGGTACCATTGACATATCAGCCCATTACGCTAAAGCCATGCCCATTCACCTTTGTTATATTGGTGGTTTAACACCACCTGCATCACAGTCCCATCTCTCAAAGACTGGGCCATTCGTCCATGAGTGATCACCCTAGATCCACTCTTTAGCATCCTTAGGATGCCCACAAACACGGGGAATAGCCTTCCCCAATATCCTTTTTACAGTCCCTACCAAGTCTGTTTTCTATCCATAGCCGTATTCGCCAATACTGCCACTGGGTCAAGGCTCACAAGCCCAACCACTAAGTCCCATTATCCTCTAGGACTTCCTCACCATGTGACTGTATCCTTAGTCACTACACTAGAGGACTGTTCCTCTTCCTTTCCACAGTTTGAGACTTTGGGACAACATTTCTGAACACTATGGCCCTACACAAACCTCATGGGTACTCTTCCCACCTTCTACCTTTGGGTGCTCTAGCCATGGGGCTAGAGCGAGGTTTTGTTGAGCCACACTAGGTATCTAAGTAGGTAGTGCTACCATGCTTGGACTGGGAGCATCGACTATTCGATCTCCCGAGGGAACTAGAGTCGGCTCTTGAACACTTCACACCAAGCTACCCCGCTCGGACTTGGTCTCAGTCTTGGACTCGGTTCCATCTTGGACTCCATCTCAGACTCCATCTCAGGTCCATCTCGGACTCCATCTCAAACTCCATCTCAGACTCCATCTCAGGTCCATCTCAGACTCCTTCTCGAGTCCATCTCAAACTCCATCTCGAGTCCATCTCAGACTCCTTCTTGGGTCCATCTCAGACTCCATCTCGGGTCCATCTCAAACTCCATCTCGGATCCATCTTGGACTCTATTTCGGACTCCATCTTGGGTCCACCTCAGACTCCATCTTGGGTCCATCTTAGACTCCATCTTGAACTCCATCTCGGACTCCATCTTGGGTCCATCTGGGGTCCAT